ACACGGCAATCGTTGCGAGTACCTTGTATATCTTTATAAAGGAAATTTCCCACTTGACATTCCAGCTCAATATCTGAGATCGCTTCCAGCACGGGCTGCTGCAGGGATACTAGGAGTGCCGTGTCAGCCCCCTGCGCATCCATTGTCAGTGAGATGGTACCTGGGCACCCATCCTTTTGACAACGGAACTTCAGTATCAACTCAAGTAGATGTTGAAGAGGAGCCGTCTTCTCTGGTGATAAGAGAGACTTCTTAGCGCGGCGGGGATCCTGGCAACTGAAAGCCGCTCGTCGGGCACGATCACAGTCCCTACAACTTAACAGATCCACGTCAAGTTGGGACCCAACCTGTGACCAGAGACCCCAGTCATCTCTGGGAACTTCACGCATGATGGTGACGCAGTTGGCAACCATGATGCTTGACACCGACTCCAGTAAGCCTGATGAATCTTCAGGAAACCCACTGCAATCAGACTCCACACCGGTCAGCATAGAACATATGTTGCCAGATGGCTCTGCCAGTGAAGAGCATGCAGAGATGTCGTGCGTGTGGAATGCCACGGGTGATTGGCATTCCATTGCTTCATCTTCGGGGACAGCTGCCACGGGTAAGATGAGCGAAACCAGGTTGCTTTCAGCTTCGCGTGTAGGATCAAAGCCAATCAAAAAAAAATCCAAGTTGGAAAAATTCAGCTGGTCTTGGTCAAATTTAGTGCCTACCCTGATTTGTAAGTCCCGCGCATTTCTCAGCCGATCCACCAGCGTGGCGTGACCTTGAATAAAATCGCAGGCCTTCCGTACGCCTTGGCAAGCGGAGACAGCGTTGCAATCAAATGCGCTTGCCGGAAGGAGCGGCAGTAGAAGCCCTGGCCAAAGCATGACCCGCGAAGGATACAGCATGCTTCAACTCCCTGAACCATGACCATAGTTACCTGGCTGGGCAGCATGACATGCCTGATTCCAATGCAAGCGCGCTAAACAAATCGCAGAGTTCAACCATCCTGCAACATGACCCGTCGACTGAACACCTCGAATGCTGGATGAGCTGTGCCCGAAACCCTATTCCTGCTGTAATTGTATTTCGGAAACAAGAAAGCTTATGGTGGCTTAAGCTTTCCAAGCTTTTTGCTTACGACATGACTTTGCTGTTGTTTCTGCTTACTCCGCTGACTCCAGCATGTTGCAGCTGCTGCAACTGAAAGGACTGGTGCGCTTGGGACATGAAAAAACACCAACAAAAACAACAAATTACGACACTTACGTCAACAACGTTGCCACAGAATTGTCTACGATCAGACAACTGCGCTACAGAGCTGCTGTTCGGGAGCTTAGGCTTGGGGGCCAGCACAAACAACACTGATATCATTCGCCGTCACGCATTTTGTCCTCTTCCTGCGCTTGCCCCTTCACGTGGAGTTCGACCCTCACTTTCATGTCCTGCAACCACGGTAAGGCTAGGTAAGACAACCACACGATCTCTTCACCTTTCACAGAGACGCGCGCCACAGGAGAAAGGTCTCTCCTCCTCCCTCCAACCGGCCTTGCGCAGAAGAGCACGGCATGTCAAGCAAATAAGAGCCGGGAGTTGTGCAGTCATGCGGAGCCTATTCCTCCGTCGCGACCGGGAACGACTCTTCAGACTGAGCCGTATGTCGGGTCGACCTCCTCAGCTGACCGCTTCCCATCCCAGGCACCATTGCAGAGGCTATTGCACATGATCTTTCTCTGCATGAGACGTGAAAAGAATGCCGCTTTTCGTCCTTTGCCCACTGCTTAAGCGAAATGCAGGAGTGCGTCTATGAAAAAATGTCCTGAAATGTTGCATTGCCTGACTATAGCCGCTACAGCCCTGCGCAAAAATCCATCTTCTTCGTAAGGCTGCCACCTGCTTCGCGGCTTCGGTCGGCTGATCGAATCGGTGACGAAGGCCTTCCTTCCCTCCTTTCCCTCGCGTCTCGTCCATCTCGGCCATCTCGCGGAACACGCCTTCGAGCCAATGGAGTTAAATCTCTCCTTCTCGGCAGTGGCCTGAGCTCAATCTGCAGATGTCATATGCAAAGACCAGACTCTACAAAACAGAGAGCAAAAGCTGAGTCCAGCCGCGACTGTTCCAAGCTCTGCTGTGCCATGGCCTCTTCCTTGCCGCAGCAGCTTGATAGGCAGTCTCCCGCTCTGCAAGTTGCCAAGACCGCGGTATCACGAAGAACGGAGCATGAAAGCACACGACTCCATGACTTCCGCACATTGCTACAGGAGCACCTGCTCCATAACCAACCTCTGCCACTCCACATTCTCCATGGCCTTGGACGTGCGCCGCTTCAGAACAGAAGCAGCCGCTCTAGCACTTTCTGGCCCCGCCCCCCCCCCCTCCCGCCGCAATGCTTCTGAGCCACGTCTTGAGCGGCACCAATCAGATCGCAGGCGCCAAGCAGCTCCTCGCGGCCATCCGAACGGTTCCGTTCACCGCGACGGTCTCGAACATCCCTTGGCCTCCCGAGTGTCTCGCATGCAGCAACTGGCTCTGCGCTAGCTGCTAGCCGCCGCAAGCACCATTACCTGTTTGCACCCTGCGCCCTACCCCGTGCCTGGAAGGCAAAGCCTCAAGGCAGACATCTTCAACGACACTCCACAGCCACAAGTAGCAAAGCTCGCGACACTTGCCCTGTGAAGATCAGAAGCAGACTTTCGCCGTAGCTCCAGGAGGGAGTGTTGGTCTGGCTCCTGTGCTGAAGCCGCCACTCGGCAAGTCTTTTCAGAAACTCGGGTGATTGCAAGCAAAACTCCTTTTTTCAAACGCTGGGCATCTAGCAGCCCTGCGAGGGCCCGCCTCTGTCTCGCTGTGGATCTCGTTGCAAATCCCTTTGCACATCCCGCATGGACCACGCCCCAGGCCTTCGGGCGCATTTTCATCGCGCTCAGCATCAACCATCCCCTTCTGCTTAATTATTCGCTGGGGTCATCCAAGCAATGGCCGTGCCCAATACTTACAGACTCCAGCTGAGCTGTGATAAGCTTTGCAGCCCCTTCTTCTGCAAGGCCCTCCCGCATCTGGATTTACCTTCCGCGTCGCGTGAGAACCTCTGACCGGCCTGGCCCGAGCCACCTCCTGCTCACCAGCAATGGGCGACAAGCGCCTGTGCTCTCCTGCCATGTTTAGTGCGACCCAGAACAGAAGGAAGGTATAGAGAAAGCAGCCTGGTTCTGGAGCTGTAAGCCCTCCTTCTGGTCTGGATCGCCGCCTACCTGCACACACACACACGCACACAGAGCACGGCGAAGCTTTGTAGCAATTCATTTCATCAGCCTCCATGATCAGCGCGAACGTCTGACCTTCCCAAATGCAAGTTCCGCTCGTGGGAGAGCTGATCGCGAACTCGCCTTGGCTCATCCTGCGGGTGCGGATAACCACCTGGAAGCCGGCAGGTTGCTAGACTCGGTAAGCCTAAAAGACTCGCGAGGGTGCGCAGTCGGTTGCCTCGACCAGGGCTGGGAGCGTCGGACTCTCTCCGTCGCCGTCGACGGCGGCCTACAAGGCCTACACATGAAGAACTTCTTATCAGAAGAAGTTATTGCCTGTACTGAGGCCCCTGACCTGGTCGGTCATCCCCATTGGCCTGGGCATCTGACTCCAGCCTCAGGGGAAGCTTAGGCTCAACATAACCCAAAAGATGTGGTGGAATGGATGCAAACAACTCCGTAAACAAAGCTGCTGAATGCAAATAACTTGGTTTGATGCAGAACAATGAACGTTGTGCCTTGTACTGTAAAGACCTGTAAAAGAGTTTGCAATCACCAGCTCTGTTTGGTGCCTTGCCTCGGTTCCTTGGAGGTTCCGTTCTCGTGCCCTGGACTTGCAGCCAGGTGTGAGCTTCCTCACCCAGTGTTTTTGCATGTTGCCTTGCAAGTCTGGAGCCATGTGGTGCGGCTTTCGCCGACGTCGACGCCCTTTCTCCTCGAGGAGCGCATGCTTGGGTAACTTGCCTACTGCAACCGCTAGTAGCCACTAGTCAGCTCTGACGCGATCCTTGGCCTTCTTTTCTGGAGGCTCCAGCGGCAGGTGCCTGGCCACACACCACACACCAAATTGCATCTGCCCCGGCAGTGGCCGCCACCCCCCCTGAAAAGCTCCGCAAGGCCTAGGCGGCTCCTGCGCCTGCACAATCTTCATCTGACACCAATAAGCAAGCCGTGCACCCATCTCGCCGCACTGATGCAAAAGAATGGCAATCACAAAGCGCCGTGATGTCAATTGCAAGAAGCCCGAATCAAGCCGGAGAATCAGCTGTATTAATTTGCTCTCGACGCTTAGCATGATTCGAAAAGCTGCGAATGCAATGTGAGAGAGATCAAATCAAATTATTGTGGGCTGGGCAAACACTTGTGCAGCCCAGACGGCCTGAACCACAGAGGTCTAACTCCTGAACATGCAAAATTAACTTTATTGCTGCCGTCTGCAGCTGAGCTAAAGTTGAAGCAACTACTCGAGATTTGCCTGACGATGACATCAAGCAGATTATGTGAGGCAACACACAGGCTGGGCCACCTTTTGCATGACTGCTTATGGCAACCCATCTTCTCCTCAACATGATCAAACAAAAGTAGCGAGCACGGCTCTTTAAGTTGATAAGGTGCATGCTGCTCTAAACGTAGCAGCCAAAGTTTTCATGCAATTCCCTTCCATCACCAGATCATTCTTTGATGAACCCTCGGCTTTTTCCGTCTGAGCGGCGTCAGGCAGAGACAAGAGCTATACTTGCCTCATCTTTGCGAGGCAATGACATTTTTCTTCCATCTTCCCTGCTTGCAACAGGCAAGTATAGCGCTCTCCCGCGTTGCGCTTCAGAAGCTGACATTTTCGGCGGCTCTCCCTTCCAAAGCTGAATGAAGCCGGATAAAAGCACACGAAATCTACGGGGACTGTGCACTGTACATAACTGTATCTAAGCTTGCTCGTGAAGGCTGCATTTCTGCCTTACACGTCGCACAGCTCAATGCTGTACCTCACTTGTTCTTGGTGTCCCTGTCACTCAACGATTCATCTCTGATTGCACTATCCCATCTGCTAGCTTTGATCGGGCAAATTCAGGAGGGAGTTTACATGGCAGGATTCAGACCCAGACTTGTGCACAGTGCGTGCAGGGCCTGCGGCGCAACCAATTGGGCAGCCGCGGCTTGAACAGCCACTGCCTCGGCAGAAGCTGGATGTTGTTGCCCTTGTCTGACATGTACACCTGTAGACTCGTGTAGACTGTATCACACATGTTCCCCTCAACATCATTCCAATGCCAGAGCACCCTTTTGCACCCAAACACATGCCCTCATCGCCAGTCACACATGTGAGCAGCATGTGCGGGTATTTTGAAATCGTGGACATTATGTCGAGTTTGGCGATCCAGCTTTGCTTTTGATGAATCAAGGCCCCGAAGGCATGTGGTTCCTGGATTCCTCAGCCTAGACTTGTGTCGAAGATTGCGAGAAAAGTAGTTCAAAGGACTGTTACTCCATCCCTAGTGGGGAGAACGTGATGCATTCAGGACTGAAGATCGCCTACAAAAGACTTCCACGAGACCAATTTACTACTGAGAGCGCTGCGTAGACTGGCTGCCAGGCTTCTCCACGTCCGCTTGCTCCTGGCACTTCGGGCATCAGCTTGGTCAGAGAAAATCCCTCCAGCTGACTTCTCAAGCATTGCGAAGTTTTTCAGAGCCTGGAAAGTTCCTGATGCCACCAGGGCACAATGGGAATTGGCCGTGGGAATAGCCCTGGGGCGAGGTACTCGCCGAGGTCATACACCAAGACCTGGAAGCAAGTTGAAGTGGAAGCAACGTGTGGCCGTGTCCACGACCAGTGGGTTCAGTAACGAAGTATCAAAGAGAACTCACCCGCCAACCCATCGTCCTGGTCATCCGTGAGGAGTGGCAAGGACGAAACTAATCCCGCTCTGAGCGCTTCCCGAAGCAAAGGCAGTGCCTAGGCTGACAATGAAGCGGTGAGTGGGTTGTCGACTGTCAGACAGATTACCACGAGCCATACTTCAGTACGAGCAGCAGACACCGCACCTCCAAGTATATTCTCTGGCGTAATGGAGAAAGCTACGTCCGGTTCAGAGAGGAAGGTCAGTGCCACAAAGCCCACATACGGGTACCCCTGCAGGTGTCTCTGCGTGGCAATTGGCAAGAATCTGCAGGCGCCTACACTTACACTCACGGAAAGCATCCAAGGTAAGCAGCCTGGGGAGCAGCCTCCATGGCGACGGCAATCGGAACAGGCCCGAAGACGAAATCCTTTACTAGACAACATTGCTGGGACGGTGCTAGTCCCCATTTCCCGTAGATGGAAAGTGCTAAAACTGTCCTCCGACTTACTTAGTACAAAGAAAACCAGAACTATGTCCTCTGGAAACTGCCTAGCACGGCCTATATGGACCATGGACCCAGAAGCTCCATGCTGATGCAGGCCGACGCTAAGGATCAGGCTCCTAGGCGTACTCGGAGTTGGGGGAACAGCGACAGCGAGCTTCGAACAGCCGATCTTGCGCTTGCCTTGACGAGCACCTTCTCAGGCGTGAAAAAAATGGTCAGTGAAGGTGTATGCGCCCCATGTAGGAAGTCGCTGCACGCTTCCTCCACCGCAAGCAAAGCGAGCCTCAAACTCACGATCGGCGACCCAAAGGAGATCTGCCTTCAAAGGGTTTGCAAACCATGCAGAAGCTGGAATTGTTCTGTCAGTGGCCTCCAGCATTACCACTTGCCTCAAATGTCCAACAGACTTGCTTCAAGAAAGCCAGGCTTCCTAGCAACAAACACGAGCTGGGGCTGGCAAAGGTGTGGAGGCCGAGCGTCGGTCTGAGGCTTCCTCGCTGTCGATTGTCACGCGCCAGCTCCATCGCCTTGCGTAGCGCCTGCTCCGCGGTCTCCCGTGGCTTGCGGACTGCGTCCAGCACGGGCGGATTCAGGCCGAAGGTGACCTTTATGGAGCATTTGCAGGACTCCCTATAACGGTTCGTACTGATGCAAACGCGCGCCGGGGAAGACTCACTAGTATAAAGATATGGCAGGGCCAGCAGTCCAGGGCTTTCAACCAGCAGGATCTGAGTGTTCAGTTTTGCAAGAATCTTGGCTCAAACTGCTATTGCTCGTGGGCCTTCAGCGAAACCATTTTTTGCGCAGCGGTGTTTTGCACCTTTCTCCAGGCTCACGAACGCGCTGCATCCGACCGAACTGCAGCCAACGCGCCGAAGACTGTTGCAAGTCCTTCTCCTTGCCAAGATTCGGCGAGCGGCCAAAACGTTCACGTGTAAGGCCATTGGATTGCTACAGCCAAGAATGTTGGTGCGCTGAAGTTGGCTCTTAGATCGCGGGACTGCTCTATTGTCGCCAACAACCATGAGCACATGCTCTTGCAGGACTCTTCTGGCTTGCCAGCTTTCATGCATTTTCCTGTTCGGAAAAGGAACTAAAACAGGACAGCCTCTGCAATCGACTGAGTTCATCTATGTCGCCGCGGCGAGCGACGCGAATATCAGTATGGCTCTGAATGGACGCTCTGGGAAACCGTACGCAGGCGAAGTGGATGATACGATTTTGCCATGGATGCACGCACGTAGTGGCACCATTGAGTTTGAGGCCTGGGAGCTGTTCGTGGCAAGCACGCCTGGCTGGTTAGATTTCAGGATCTGCAAGGTCCAAATTGACACGCCCGCTTGCCGTCTCTCCTCCACAAACATAAGGAACTCAGGAAGCATCCCAACTTCCGTGGAGCGGTCCCTGCAAACGAGGCTCTTCGAGCTTTCATCTTAGATCTCGGTCATTAAATTCCAAATTTTGGCTGACGGGGTGGCATTTCTTCTTGCCCATGTCTTGCCTCTTCACTTCTATTATTGCTAGTTGTTCTTCTCTCTTGCTCCTCTTTAATTTCCACCTCTCCTTTCGCCGAGTTTGACAATGTCAAGGCAACACTCCTTTCTTGCTGCCTGTTCGACCCCCTTTGCGTCATTCGCCGCCAACCTCAATGCTTTTGTTACTTACGTTTCCTTGTTTATGCAGCTACCTTTTAAACAAAGAAAGTTTACCTCCAGGAGGGGCCTATCTAAGCTGCCCTGCAGGGCAGAGGACTTGCAAAGTATGTCTCATCAGGTCTTGCGGGCTTGGTACGTTCTCGAAGGCAATGCTAAGCGCATCATCTTCGTCAGGGGTCATCTGGAAAGTGAACATTGCTGCCAGTTCGGCACCAAGTCCACTGACGCTCTTCATGACGGGTGTCCACACGGCTCCAAACACCATGTTTAGCCAGCGGATGCTTTCCTCTTCGTCGCTGACGCCGCTGTAAACCCCTAGGCCTTGCTCGACAATGCGTGCTCGGCGCTGCTGTTCCTGATCCACACTCAGCACGACCGTCAGCAACATCGCCAAGCCAGCGCAGTGCAGCCAAACGCCAGGCCGACACCTTCGACACCTCAGCCGCCGCAGCTGCCGAACAAATTTGGCGCGGCGGGATCTGACCTGGTTGCTCGCTACTTGACTTTTGTCAGGGTGTGCTTGGCTTGAAAGCGCAGATAGACCGTGATCCCGCCTGAGGTTCTTCCGACACTTGCCGGCTGTCGCCGTTCTCGGGCATGAGCGGCTCCAAGTGAAAGTGCTCAGCGTAAGACCTTAGGAGCTGCCACTGCTTAGTAGTGCGCTGGCCTTTGTCCCTGAGGCTGAGACCCTGAAGCTTCGGCGAGTCCATTTGGAGCTCGCGGAGCTCGGCTCGAGCGGCCAAGCATCCAGGCCACCATCAAGGCCAAGGTCAGGGGCGGAGCCAAGGCCACGGTCCTTTCGCTTGGACTTCCAAATGCATCTCGCAGAAGCCGACGTGCCACTTGCTCCGCAACGCGGCGCTGCCTTGGACCATTGGAAGCTGCAATACTAAGCACACAATGCCTCCAGGGCATTTCCTGCCTGGGACGCGTCACCAGGTAGCTGCTAGCTGAAGGAAGCGAGTCGGTCCTTGACAATGACTGAAGCACCCCCAAAAGGCCACAGAGGGGCTCAAGAGATGAGGGATTACTGGGGCAAAGGCGCAGCTTTCTCGTCTTCTTTGGGCAGCGGCTGCCGGCTTTGACCTCGAAGAGCAGCGCCTAAGCTCCTTGTGGGCTCACTGAGCACCTGCCAGAAGTTGTCATCTGGTCTCATGGTTTGGCTTGCAGACATACTCAACCACATCATGCTTGGGCTTCATAGTTCTTTGCCCTCCGCAAGTCCCTCCCGCATGTTTTTATTCAACGCCTTTGCCATTGTTTCCTTATCATCCTCACCACAACACAGAACGGGCCAAAGCAGTGCAAGCACAACGCAGATTTGCCGATGCCTTCACGCTGTCCTCTGCCACCTTCGCCGCCTGCAGCAAGCATGCGATTCGCTAGCAGGGCTTGCTAACACCCCTGGCAAACATCCTGCCATAGTAGTCAGGGCTCAGTGTCAGAGCGCCTGCCTTTTCTTGTCAAAGTTGCTCAAGCCATCCTATTCATGGCTTCCATAACATGACATAACATGGCCCTCCTGCGAAAGGCTGCTAAAGGCTGCGAAGACCAACCATTGCACATTCTTGCTTTTCCGATTCTGCGTCCCTCGCCTCTGCCGTGATGCCCTCAACAGTGCCACCCAAACCGATCGTCGCGTTGCCGGCTCCAGTGAGCACAGCCCCGGCTATCCTGTAGACGCCTGCCTCGGTTCAGGCGCGCACTCTGCTCGGCTGCTATTCCGGCGCAGGTGCAGATCAGATTTCTTATTTGAGCGCTAGCATGTTGTGCAGCGAAACTGCCGCATGCTAGCGGCTACTAGCAGCTGTTCAGATTTTTGCTGTGGAGGGCATAACCATAGCCAGGGGAGCAGATGGAAGAGAATTCTGAACAGAAATCTGTACTCCGAGTACTTGTGAATTCGAATCTGGCTTCCAATCTCTTTCAGGGGAAAGCAGATGGAAACTTCCATACTCATACAAAAGAGAAATTGCAAGTTCCTTTCATGATGACCACGAAGTTCAGACAAAATGTGCTAGGCTATGCCGACCCACAAAAACCCGTGACGGAGCCGCTAGTGGGCCATGCTTGATGACCTGCGTCTCCCCAAACCTCAGATGAAAACTGCAGCAAGCTGGTGATTCTCCAAATTCTGAGCCCGCTTTGCCCATCATCAGTTCATTTTTGGATGTCGGAAGCCTTGTAGATTCCGAGAGATTCCTGTTGCAGGGCTTTCTGGGCTTGGGCTTGGCACCGCCCCATGGCGCTGCATGCACGACAAGTCCCGGAGACAGTGACTTTGCGATCACAACTGCATTTCCCGGCATACTGACAAGGCCGAAGCACACATCACTCTTCCATCGGCTCCATTTTGTGGGCTTGGCTTTGGCTGCGTGTGACTTGTGGGCATTGGGAAGGGGCTGATAGGAAAAAACAAAATAAAAGCAGAAACGTGACCCATAGAAGGCTTATCTTGGGATTTGCAGTTTTCTGCATTTCTCCGAGTCTCCATGCATGTCTGCGCCGTCGACGGGAGTGGGCTGCTTGCTGGGAGCGTAACAATGTAGCAGCTTCTGTTGAAATGCCATGCCAGCTAAAGGGAGCTAGCTAGATCACTGTCGCATCAGCTCTGATTCTTGGAAATTCAACGCCTTCAAGGCCAAGTTGAGCCCAAGGGACGTCTGCACGGCTTGGCCGAGACCTCTCGTGAGGCCTCCAGTCAGTCGCAACGTCGCGCCCAGAGTGGCGGCAGTAGTGTCACCCACGCCCCGCACCTTGCTGAAGAACTTTTCGTTACCCAGTATATCAGCCTCTTTGCTTGGTTCAGGGTTTTCTATATATAAACCTTGGAAGCTATATATAAACCTGGGAAGCTACATTTAAAACCTTGGAAGCTATTTATTAATGTGTAGCGGCCAGCGGCTTGAAGCGGTTCCGGACTATTTATAA